CACTTTATTTAACTTTATTTTCAATTTATTTCTTTTTAATTTCATTTCCAATTATTTTTATGTAATTATTTTTACATTATTAATATAGTCGTTACAATTGGTTAAATCTGAATAATGAATATAAAAATTAATGCAAAATTGGGATTCAATTTAAAATCTCATAAATTTCATATACATATTATAAATTGTCTGCCATAGAGTTCATTTAGTGACACTACATAATTTCAACTTTTTATTGTCCTCAATTTCCTCATTCAAATTTTACGAAAAATTTTAATTCCATAAAATTTCTTTTTTTCCTTTTTAAATTCTAATGATAATACATCCAATTTACTATTGTGAATTAATAATAATTGCATTTAAAGTGTGCAGAGAAAAAAAAGACCCAAAATTTGAATTATCATTCAATTTTGGGGAATATATGATGATGTTGTTTGTCGTTGCAGTGATAATTTTATCAAGTTATCAGTTGGTTTTAATTTCTCAACAAAATCAACTATCATTATCGTTAACATCTTCGGCGGGAAAAAAAAGCGAAAATTTTAATGAAACCTTTTTTTTTTTGGAAAAGAAAAATAAACAAACAACTCCATTTTAAATAAAAAATTTGTGCAAAAAATTTATAAAAAATTTGTTTTATGGTTTCTTTTTTTTTCTTCGAAATTCTAAATATTCATTTTACTTTTATTTTGTATTCAAAAATAATTTTGTTCGTATTCATTTTTTCAAAAATTTTCAAAAAATTTTAAAAGTTTGAAAGGAATTTCATTTACAACAATGAAATTGAAATTTTTGATTCCTTTGCAATTTGAAATTTTTCTTCAAATTTTTTTCTTTTCAAAAATTTCAAACGAATAAAATTTCATTCCTTTACAATTTCATTTGAAAGTATACCAATCATTATAATACAGCACAAAATCAATTCATCATCTTTCGCTATTTCGGCAACAACTTTGATATTACCTTTCAAGTAATGATTAATTGTCATCAGAGGATGTCAACGAGGACCAATTTTTCAATCAGGACAATAAGAAAGCTGTCAACCCATTGTTGTAATACTTTTGCCTTGTAAATGTAACCATAAGGATTGTGGTTTCTTCCTATCATTATAGTTAGTTTAATTATAAATCATCCACGATCTTTGTTCTCAAAGATGCAATTTTTGCTTTTGTTTTTTTCTCACCATAAAATTAATGAAATTCAATTTTTAAATGCTAAACTGAACCATTAACAATATGCATCACATATTTTTTCATAATGTTAATTTGATGCTCAATCAATTTCTTGTGAATGAATCTAGCATCATAAATATACGAAATGCATTCATAGACTTTTGGACAATCCTACCCTAGTAATTATTTAAAATTCAAATAATAACAACTAAACGTATCATTTTCAATGAAAGTTACCGAGATTTATCAACATGAGGATGATGAAATTTAAGAGAAAATTAAATGGAACTTGAAACATGACGATATATGTCAATCTAACCTGAGAGTCTATGCCAAATATAAGTTCCATAAAATTCCCTTTTAGTCAACATTTCTTCCGGAATGTTTTATTGGAATAACAATGCTAGTGTAGAGATATTTGTTGCAATAAAAGAATTTATTGAATGCTTATCATTAAAGAAAACAGCAAAATCTCAATACATTAATCTCCAAGTATTTCCTCAGTTTGAAATGGACTGCTACTTAGTCATGTTTCGAGTGAAACTACCTGTTTTCACACAGTGTACTCCCTTGCATATAAATGAACAAAATTCTTTCGATCTTTTTCCTTGTCTTACCTGTTACCATAAGTTCAAAAAAACTCTCATTTGATCTGGAAAATAAATATATCACAGGATGCAGTAAAAAAAAAAACGCAACTTGACATTTTAACATCATCTTTTATCACATACTCTTACAGTCTTTACCTTTATACACAGTCAGTAGTTAATTCCATCGGTTAAGTATTGCAGAACTTCACTTCATTATTTAAAATTGAAATATCAAAAATATAGCTTGAGGTCGAGATCGTTTTAAATGTTTTGAGGACGTGTTAAAAATAAAAGGAAAGACAAACAACAACGAAATTTAAAATGGAAATTTACTAGGCATATCAAACATTTCGCCTTTCCTTCAATTTCAGCATTTTCTCGGCAAAATAATCATTAATCGAAGTCTTGTTAACAATTATGTTCGCAGATGACGATGATTCTGATTTAGCCTAAAATGTTTGTAACAAAATATCGATCCCAACAAGTTAGGTCCTCATGACAGACTCGAAAAAGGTGATGTTGTTAATTACCATTTTTCAAGAAGATAAATTAGCTAGCACGTACTTAAAAGTAGTACTTGAAAATAAAATTCCTAGACTATAACAAAGAATAAAAAACCAACTTCATCTTTCTGTATATTTTCGTCAATATTTTTACAACGGCTCTTCGAACTGATCTCTTGCCAAAAATAGCACATTTATCTTTTTCTGACATCATTGACAAATTCGGGACATATCTATCTTTTCTATGCCTGAAATACTAAATTGTTAACAATGATATGGAACAACTCATTATATGTTGTTAAACTGTTAATTTAGCCAAAAATTTAATCAACTTATTTCAAAACGGTCAAAATTTACTTGGCCAAAAGTAATATACCCAACGTTTCAGGTTCATTTGTGCTGTGAAATTCTACCATTCAAGTCTTTTGTTAACACTTTGGTTGCTTAATTATTATAAACGGGAATTATCTTCGTTGGCGGTTGCTCCGTACTAAATTCCTTAACCATCTTTACGATATAAAGAGAAACCATTTTGAAGCACTTATTCGAAAATCTTACCTAAGTCTAATTTTGCTATATTACAAATAATTTTAAGATAGCCACTATAAAGATGATCGAAACATACTCATTCAAAATTATTTTTGACTTCACTTTGTGCAAACTTTTTTTAACCGATTTGGTTTCTGATTTTTCTTTCTTCTTATTTAAATCAGCTAAAATCGCAGCAAAACTGTCATGATGAGCTATCCAAACTTCGTCGTTTCTTTCAGTACATCCTAAACCTGAAATCAAGAGATTCTAATTAAACTCAGGTGATTAAAATTTTAAATACAAAAGCTGCAACGTGAAGAAAACCTTTCAAAGCACCAAAGTGATTTATTTATTTTTCGGATGCCTAAATTACCTGCACTGAACTAATGATAAATAATGTTTGCTAATCTACCAAGGATTATACGTCCCAACCCCCCCCCCCCTTCAGCTCTTGTTTCCAGACGGGTTACGATATATTTTTGAGTCACTACTGCGATAGTAAAATTTTTAATAGAAGTGTTGCCAAATTTTGTGATTGAAAACTGCTTCGATACAAAGCACATCTGAGTTATTTTCATAGTGCTTTTGAAATTTGTAAATAAAGCCGGTATCATTTGGTCAGTCGTAATTTCTACTTTAATGGGTCTTCAGAAGAAAAACTACAAGATTCAAAGCCAATTACAGGCGTTCGAGCAACATACTTTACCGATCCAAATATGACAAATAAGGCCTCTCTTAGCAATGAGAAATTTACACATTTTCTTTTTTTCAATTTTAGAAATCCTCATTTCGCCATATTGAAAGATATTTCGACATGGTTTGTAATGGAAAAAAAAACCTTTCGTGGAAACGTTTGCTTTTACTTGTAAATTCTCAGTAATTCCTTGTTCATACTTGCCTAATCCATGACCTGGTTTCCATCCCATTTTCTCCAGCATCACTTTTCCAAACTTGGAGTCATCTAAAAATGCGAATTTATTTCGGAAATCAAAATGCTAAAAGTCTAGGAAGGAAAAAAAAAAGAAATACTGAAAATCTACGGAGCATCGGAAAAAACGCAAAAAGGTACCATTGGGCCATGTAATACTTTGTGAATTAGCAATATTTTTCTGCTTTTCACATGTCGGTAAAAACGACATCTAAGACTTAAGGCTTTTCTTGTGACGAATTTTATAGATTTCTCCTGAAATTAGAATATAAATATTTTCAACAATAATTTGTAGATTTTTCCCCTCCTACAAAGCAACCTGAAAAATTCGATGCCACAGTGAAGTCCAAAAGAGAGGAAAATTCTGCAATTCATAGGCATAAAATAATTGACCACTGAAATTCACTATCTTTTTCCTTAAATTATTTATTCTTATAAAAGTTAAACAAAATTGCTCACTGACAGAATGAGGTAAAAATTGATTGTTAAGTGGAGACAATAGAAATTCATATAATACAGGCATATGTATAAAAAATATGGGAAAAATTGTAAACTGGTAAGGGATATGAAAGTAAAAAATGTAAGAGGAAAATGAAATAAAACAAAGAATATATATATATATATATATATATATATATATGTATATAGTATATATATATATATATGTAAAATAAGAAATATACAAAAAGTAAAACTATGTCAAACCCTGAAAACCAGAAAAGTGTGAAAAAACATATAAAACTCTTGTAATTAATTAGTTGAAGTAATTGACTGAAGGTAGAGCTTAATCTCAGATGGTAAAAAAAACCATATTTTCATTACAATACCGGTAAGCAAAAATAACGCCACGCGTTATCACAAGAACTGGACGGGAAATGTCGCAGTCAACTCGATATGAAATATGCAAAATGTAAAAATGTATAATATCCAATCATTTTACCATCATATATTTCATTCCAATTTTTAAACAACTGAATGCCAAAAAAAGTCCTTTATGAATCTCTTGCTAACGATTGATGCCAACCAGTAAATTAATTCGTTTCATTTACTCATTTCTTAGGCTGTTAATGGTTCGAAAGTAAATTTCAAACGGTTTAGGAAGCAATTAACAAGTAGAAATATTAATAAATAAGCAATAAGAAAAAATAAACGCGCATAGTTTGTCTCAGAAAATAAGTTTAGCAATAATACAAAGAAATTGGTTGCAATCATTTGTTCATTAAAATTTCAAAATCCAAAATTTCCTCTTTCCATGTACCCATACTTGCGATGAGGGACATGATAAGAAACTGGAATTAGGAAATTTAATCAAAGGGATTGATTAGTTTTCCCATGATGCACGGACTTTAAAACGATATAAAAACTCTAAAATACCTGCATGCGAAAGGTGATGCCTCCTTATTACATCAGTGGAAGCTTGAAATTTAAGGGTTTAATTACCCTAGAGGATTTAAAACATAGACTTTAAGAAACAGCATGAAGTTCAATGATCCAAATTTCGGATGTCCAAACCATTTTCATTGGTGCTCCCTGATAAAATGTACCAGCTGTAACAAACAGTTGCGTTTTTGGTGATATCTGATATAATCCATAATAATAGGACATTATCAAGTAAGCAATCGGCGCAATCGTATAGAACTGTCCTGCATGCGTATGCCCTAAAAAATTTTTACATATGTTAAAAATGAAATAACATAGGCACACAATTTCAATGGCATTTGAAACTAACCTGTAGTTTTTTAGTTGCAACTAGCAAACTATAACAAGAATGCATTGGATATGCTGATGCTAGCATATCCAATGCATTCTTGTTTAGCAAAATACTCCCGATCATTTTTAGGTGGACTGAAAAAATGCAAATATCTGTCTCAACTGACCTGATAGAATGAGGTCAACACGCAGATGCGCATCATTAAAAGCAATTTCTTTGGCCGAAGCTGGATTATGTGAAAGCATAATGGTTGTGCTATTCTGAGGACAACCTTTCAGTGCTTCTACCGGATGAAACATATGACCAGGCAATCTGTAAAAAGATACTGAATTCATTTTGATTTGAAATTTATTTTAATCGAAATCTCTTAACTAAGCAATCTAGTGAAGAGGTTTGAAGACTAATTTGGTGGCCGGTATGGTATGCTCCTTCAAGGAAACTAGTACATATGTTCGACAAATAACGACATAATGATTTCGAAAGCGAGAGAAAATCCAGGTCAACTTACCCGCTTAGTCCACTCGAATAATCACTCACACCAGCCACACAGATACCACGAAAAATCACATGCCTGAAACAATAAAATTTAGGTATGCTTCAACTTATGCGTATTAACAGACTATGAGATAAAAATTTAGCGTTTCCACATCCAAGTTTAAAGCTTGCATTTGAAACGCAAGATTACTGGAAAATCGGACAAGATCATGTTCCACGTTTCCACAATTTTTCGAAAAATCGCTCATTAATGCAAACATGGCGTTACTAAAATCTTCCCGTATCTCGAACCGAATTGTTAAAAAACTTCAGAAGCAAACCTATTATTCAAGACTTCAAATCCATACTGTTGAAATAAATCAAACCACTCCGAAGCATTACCATAATAATATTCATGATTTCCACTTACGTAAAACGTTTTCGGTTTCAATAACCTTGAAAAGTTTTAGTTTCACAAAGAAGTGATTGAAAAGTTTTGTGATCAGAAATATCTCCCAAGTGTCCGTTGTTTTCTGAAGAAGTTTATCAAATGAGTCTTAATGTACTGTAACAAAAAAAAGGCTCGCTATAAGCCGTCTTCTTAAAATTATTAATTAAACTATTTGAAATTATTATCCATGAATGCAACCGCTGCCACTCAGGATAAACAGCTCTCTACATGCGAGTACGATAGTGGGAAAGCACGGTAAGTTTAATACTAAGTTCCCATGTTGAACGGATATCGGCCTTCTCAATAGGCTCACGGAGAAACCTACCAAATAATTCCACAGTCACTTACAGTGCTGTTAATTCTATAGAAATGACCGAGTGGAAGGATATGAGCAATTACAAGTAGCTGATAAAATAATCTATTAAATAAGCTCTTAATTCCTGTATAATAGAGAAAGATAAATGAGAACTGAATTCGAAACTTATGAAAACTTTTCTATAGCCAAGGATATCAAGAAAATTTTACATCAATTTCTGATATTCTACAACATAATTTATATATATTCTTACTGCAGCGGTTTCACACGATATTCCATTGAATCTCTTGGAGCATCCACGACATCACCAACAATAAATACAGCATCGACCGCTTCACTGTTCACTCGATTCACAAGCTGCAAAATTCTTACTGAACAAAATTTATAATTTATGGTAATATCAGTGGTATTTTAAAAGCAAAACGTATTCAGAAAAAAGCGATTCATGGAGTAAAAATCAATAAGGCAGGAAAATCAGAAATGTTAAAACTCCTACTGACACCGAACCAGACGTATCTAAAACAGATCAGAAATAATGGGTAATCAAAACTGGATCTAAAAAAAGTAATGATTTGAATAACACACTTAAAAAAAGGTCAAAAATTCAAGAACAGAAAAAAATCAAAGAAGCAAAAAAAAGAAACTACTTTTTCAACTTAGTTCCGTGAAT